GACAATAATAATTAATTCAAATAATGCTCCAAGAATTTCGGTGCATGACAGATAGAACTGCATTTACGTCTTTCTATTTTATACATCGTCTGAATGTAATGCCATGAGACTATATTTAAAACATAAATAATGTAGAAATGGCATTATGAAGAAGACATTTTCCCTTAGTGTTTGTTAAATAAAAATTAAACTTTTAACAAAATAGATGCACAAATTCCACTCGTATTTTCGCAGTTAGTTGCAGCACAATTCGAAGGTATTTCTGAACAAAAAGAGTATTATTTATTAAAGAATAACGCAATATAAAACAGAAAACTTTGCAGAGTTTCAGCCAAGTTTGTTGTTGTGAACTTAATTCTATACTACCAGGACATCCCAGAATGCCTTGCGCATACGATTACACTCTTAACTATGTAAATATTAAAGAGTCGACAGCCCTTGCTTAAAATTGCAAAAAAACATGACTTTCGCTTTTCTTTCTGTTTTTTTTTTAACAAACGTTTGCACGTTTACGAGATCGACAAGTTGCAGCATGAAAAAAATCTTTAGACAAGCGTTGTTTTACTGCTTATGGAAAAAGTTTTATATTATCTTTTTGTAATTATTACATTATCTTATTATTATCTAATAATTACATTATTAGAATTATTACAACAATTAATAATTCTACAATAAAAGTGAATAATATATTAAAGTAAATAATATATAAAATATAATTTATTTCGTAAAATAATAATTATCATATAACAATTTGTGTGTAATAATTTTTTTTTAACAGTTGAATAATTTTTTATTTTAACAATATAATTAAAAGTGTTTAATTTTATGTTAAGTGTTCAATCTTATCAAAAACATTTACAGTTTTTTTTTTTATATAATGGAACAACCATGCCTTTTAAAAAGCAGTTAATAAAAATACAGTTTGATATAAAAAAAAAATTTTTATGACTTTGTGTTTTCAATTTTAGTTATTATGATAATTAAATGTTATAACTATTTTAGTATTTAAGTAGGTTGTATGTAAAATTAAATAACGGTTTTTTCTGTTTTAATCTTTTCGCTTTAAAGGGATCCCTAAGTGCTATAAAGATATGATCTCATATGAAAGAGCATTAAAAAAAAAGTTTGATGTATATTATTTTTTCTAAAACGTAATAACAATGAACACACACTAACAAATTTAATTTTCAAAAAAGCGCTTTTCTTCGATTAAATAAAATGCGTCTTGTCCAAAGTTTATTGACTCTATTGCAAACTTATTAGTTGGTAATTAAATTTAAAAGTAAAGTCGTTTTTTTCAACTAACACATAATTACTTACAAGAATAAGTTTTGTAGCATTTTGTGAAAATATATTTGTTAATTAAAATTTTTTTATAATTTTAATTTATATATTTGTGTTATAAGGGCAATTTCATGGCCAAAAATGAATAGAAGTCAAATTTTTAACTCTTTTTAGTCAGTTTTTAACAAATGAATATTGATTTAGACACATGAATGTTTATTTAAAATATTTTCTTAATAGAAAAATAATTTTACTTCAGTCATTTTTATGGTTTCAAAAGTGACGGTTACTCTCATTTTCGCTTAAAAATGAGAGTAAAGTTTGCTTAATTGCTCATTATTGTAAAATGTTTTAGTTAAATTAACATTTATGTTAATTTTGCTATATTTTTTGGTTCAAATTGATAAGGTTGAATAGACAATTTATTAGAAATTAAACTAAGACAGAGCTCGAATTAACGCAAAAAAACCTAATAGCGAAAAAAAAAAAATTTTTATTCTCTCTCCCCCCCCCTCTCTCTCTCTCTCTCTTATAGCTCGTGCCGATGTACATCGGCACGAGCTATAATTTGTATAATTTTTTTAAAAATTAAAAAAAAGAAATAATTTTTTTTAAAAATAATTTTTTCCCCCCATTACCGCACATATGTGCGGTAATGGGGGGAAAAAATTATTTTAAAAAAAAATTATTTCGTCAAAAACTTAGATACAACGTTTTTTATAATTTATTGTTTCTTGAATAAAGGACTAATAAAAGTTTAAATTAATTCTTTAAATTAAAAGTTTAAGTTAAGTTTAAATTAAAAGTTTAAATTAAGTCTTTCATTTAAATGGTTGATGTTTTTATTCAATTTTTCTATTTCAAGTTTTCCAATAAAAGATAAAACAAAAAAATTTGGTTTAATAAATCGAATTAAGGCTTATTTAAAATATATTTAAAATAAGGCTTAAAAACGTTAAAGTAAAAAAAAAATGCTGGTTTTTATTAGCATTTTTATACTGTTTGAAAAAAAAAACTAATAAAAAAGAATTAACTAATAATATATTAATTAATAATTATTAGAATTAATAATAACAACAATTAATTCTTTTTTATTAGTTTTTTTTTTCAAACAGTATAAAAATGCAAATAAAAGTCAGTAATTTTTTTGCTCTAACGTTTGTAAGCCTTATTTTAAACATGAAGTTTTGATAAACAAAGATAAAAACCAATTTTTTAACTTTTCGCTTTAACGACCTTGTAAAAATTTTCCACGCAGAGATTTAAAGTAATTTAAATTCAAAAATGTTTTACGTTGAAAGAAAATCTCCGCGCGAAAGAGCTAATCATCTATTTATCTATCTATTCAGAATAATAAATTTTGTGTGACGTTCTTTACGATAAAAAAATTACTTTTAAGAATTGCTAAAAAAAATGCTAAGCTAGAAAAAAAGTAATTAAACATCCAAAAAAAAAAAAAAAAAAATCGCGAAAAGATTTTTTTTAAGAAAAAACTAAACACAAAAGTGTGAAAAGCCATCGCGATACGCTTAATACGAGCCCTGTAAGATATTTTTATAAGTTCTAAACTATTTAAAACTATTACTTAATAACTTTTTTTTAACGACGTCTTTCAACCGAATGCTATTATACTGTTTTTGCAAAACTAATTAAAAAAACTTGATTAAAACTTAACTATTTAATCACGACTTTTTTTTAGTTGAAAATCGAAGTAGATATTCTAAAGTTGTTGTGACGTACTAACGTGATTTTTAACGACTAACAATCGAGTTTCAATGGTGAAAAAATAAAATCAAAATGGAGTTGTTTTTCAGTGATTTCGGCAATTGCTTTTTGTTAGCATGCATTTATTATTACAATTTAGTGAAAAAGAAAAAAAAATTACATATTTTTTTATGCTCTTTCATATGAGATCATATGTTGGGAGCACTTAGGGATCCCTTTAAGAACCAGCTACCACTATCATGCATTTGGAAATCTGTTGCGATGGTTACGAAATCATATTATAAGCGAAGCGTTTGTTTTCAATTTTTACAATTTTTTTCGAATTTATTAATAGACTTTTTGATGTTCGATGATCAAGTTTTAAATTTATAAAAGTCACTTTTCGATTTATTTTCTTAAAATGCTTTAGAGTATCATTTTGTTATCATTGTTTATTAAAATTCACACTTTTAACAAAACTTTTTAAATTTTGTAAGTATATTTCAGTTTTATACTCAATTATTTGTTTTCATTTAAAAAGTTCATGTTTTGGAACTAAAGTTGATTGTTTTAAAGCGATACGTCGACGACACCTTCTTGAATATAAATATGATATCAATTTTTTTTTCTTTTTAGTTTATTTTGTTGATATATTAAGTGATTTTTTTTAAACAAAAAAATGCAAGTAAAGATGCTAAGAATATTTAAATATAATAATTTTGATAATAATTTGATTTCAAGATATATTCTGATTCTATTCTAAAACTGTAATTTCAACAGACTTTAATTTTAATCGTTTCATTCGGTTTAATAAACATAAAATATTCTCACAATATTATTCAATAACTTGTAAATCGACAGTTCGTCCATGTTTTAATACCAACTGTCACACTATTGTTAATAGTGTTTTTTATGTTCTATTGTTAATGGCTTTTTTTATGTTCTCACCGTAAGTTAAATTTTCTCATTAGAACTTGTGTTCTTTTGGTCACTCCTAAAGAGAAATATTAATTTTATAAAATGATAGTGAAAGTAAAACTTTTCTCTAAAATGACTATTACATGAATTTTAAAACAAAATTTTATTTGTCAATCCAAAAAACATGCATTCGATGTAATTTATGTAAAAATTTAAATTTAATTCTTCTAAGCTGCGTTAGTTGCTTTTTTTATATTTTAACATTTATATATTTTGTAGCCTTATTCAAGAAGCATCAAAATTTAATTTATAAGTTGTATAAAAGTTGTATTTTTTTATTGATTTTCTTCAAAGTTTCAAATCGACGTCGAAATCGAATCATCAAATATTTGAACCCTCACTCTTTGACGTTTTTTTATATTCATTTAAATAATTTATTTCCAAAAAGATTGTCGAAGGAGATTTTCGATGTAAATCCTAAATTTGAACAAATTCTGTAGATATTCGGTTTATAAATACAGAGTTCTTTACAAATTTCCATATAAATAAAACAGGTTTTCCTTTTTATCATCTTATATAAAAAAAAATGATGATATTTATTTCGAATGATAATATGAATAAATAAAGTCTTTTTTCTAAGTTAAACATATTTTTAATCTGTTTTATGTTATTTTAAGTAAAAAATATTATATTATATATGTATATTATTGGTTATTAAAGATTAAAAACACAATATTTATAATAAAATTTATTAAAAAGTTATGTTCAAATTAATATAATTAGTATATTTTTTATAATTTTTATTAAGAAGTTATTTTGTTTAAAAGTTTTATTAAATTTTATATATAATTTTATAATTTAATATTAATTTGATATTAATGTGTTTATGTTTATAATATTATAATGCAAATATAATATTTATTAATAATAAGAAAATGTATTAAATTTTATATTTAATTATAGTTTAATATTAATATACGTATATAGAAAAAGAATAATATTATATTTATAATATCACAATTTTGATTATTATTTTATTTATTGTTTATTATTTATTTGTTTATTGTTATATTTCACATATAATTTTTCTTTAGATCGTCTATCTAAAAGTATTAAAAATTATTCTGCTGATGATTTCAATTTTTTCTACGAATGTTTTTACGAAAGTCAACCGTCATTCACTGATGAAATAAAATCAATTGTTGATGAACAAAATAAACGAAAGCTTGGTGGTGGTTGGGAGATTTCGATTAACGATAGAAAAACTTCTTACGCAACTTCTTGCGATAATTATTTCGTAAATTATTACATAAAATCTGGAAGAAAGTTAATGTGGTTATATGTTTATAAAAGTATTTTAAGTGATGAAGAAAAAAATCTTTTAATTCGATGTTCAACTAATGTTTGCAAAGTCTGTTTTGATCGTCCAATTAATTTCGAAGGATGGAAACCGAAAGATAAGATTAAAAAGTTGTGGATATTGATTTCACGTTATTTAATAACAAAAAAAGGTTTTGAAGAAAACTTTCTTCCTTGGATTAATCTTTGTGAAGAATATTTAGATCTTCAACTTCACGACGACATTGATTTCATTAAAGATATTTGTGAATGGATTCGTTGTTCGAACATCAAGAAGTTTGTGATCGAGTACCGTGGAAAAAAAATTTATAACCTCGATGAATTAACTTTATAACGCGGGAAAATGTTTAATATTTTGAATATATAAACTAAAAACAATAATTATAAAATATTAAATGAAATATTTAATGTATTTTCAAATAATAAAAATAATAAAAAATTAAATTATTTAATTTATTTTTTTATAAATATATATGCTTTAAATATACGATATAATTTGAATATATTAGATTTAAGTGAAAAAGTTCAATATTATATTAGTATATTATTCATATTTATAATTAATTCTTTTTAAAATATATTAATAAAAATATTTATTACGTAAACTATTAAATATATAATTATATTTGCAGTACATAGTTTTTCATAATTATTATTTTTTTAACATTTTTAATAATAATAATAACATTAAACTAAATAATAATAATTGATATTAATCTTTCTTTAAATATATAAATTTTTTTTATATATACTTTTTATATATTTTCATAATTATATTACGAATTTTGATTATTTTGGTTATAATATTGATATATTTATTCTTTTGTAACTATAAATATTGAAATATAATTATTCTCAAAAAGTATTAATTATACAAAAATAAAATTAGATTAAATATATTTTAACGGTAATAAACTTTTTTCTTATTAAATTCATAAAAACATTTTTGGCTATTTTTTCTTTTTTTACTGCTACATTTTTTTATTATATTCAACCTTCGTTATTATACATGATGTTTAAGAATCATCATGAGTTTTCATGTTTATTTAAAGTTAAAGAAATTTAATTTTATATTAAAAAAATGAAATTATATTCTGCACATAATTACATTTATTTATTAATCTCAATTTTTTTTAAACTTGAAGTATTTGCCTTTTTTTTTAAGATTTTCGTTGACGACGAAACAAAAAAAATCTAATCTTTGCAGAACTTTTTTTTGGAGTTATTTTGTTCGAAAGTTATATTTTTATATAACTTTTGCTTAATAGTAAATCAAACATTAACTTTTATTTTAATCACAACATCTTGTTATATTAATTATTTAAAAAAACATATATTTTACTTGAAATCCAAAACTTTAAAGTTTCTTATATTTATGCTAAAAGTCATGTGGGCAAAACACATCGGTTTTTTACAAATGTTAAAGTACTAGAACATTAAATAAATTTAGGACAGTTGTCAATTTCGCCTAATAATAATTTTAAGATTGATATATCTAATAATAACTATAAATGATAATTTAAGTAAATAAAAAGGTCAGTACTTTTGCACTAAAATTGATGCGGATATTCTAACTTTTTGTACTGATAGTTCAGCTGGCTTTAAAATTACTTATCTTGCTAAATCTAATTCAAATATTAAAGCAAGCAAAATTGGCCGTATAAGAAAAGAGTACAACCGCATCAATTTTACTGCCAGAAGTGCTGTCCTTTTTAATTACTTAAATGAGACAAGCTTTTAAAAGTCTTTCTTTGTATAAATATTCACGTCCTATTTCTTCTAGTGCGTTTTTTAGATGATATTTTAACCTGCACTAATCTATCTATTGTACAAAGATGTTCCATCAGGCTCTCTGTGGCTAGTAATTTTTAACTCTAATAAAACTAACAGTTATCACAACAATCAAGATCTTCCTAAAACTATAAATGGCAATGTATTCGATTAGTTATCTTCGTTTGGCCACTAAATTACTTTTCTCAAACGCATTGTAAACATAGTCGGACCCGCTTTTGCAGCAAATTTTTGTATTAAATGAAAGTAGATTTTAAAAAATCAAAGTCTTTACTTTAATAATTAAATTTTTTTAAACTTCTTTACAGAGAGTTCTCATTAATTAAATTTAGTAGCGATTTTTTTAGACAATTTTTTGTAGTATAAGAATGGTCATAAAATAATTAAAAATTTTATAAACAAATATTTATACAAAAAATTATGGCCCAAAAATGAGTCACTATTAAATTTGGATAATCTTAAGTTCTGAAAGACATTTGTGTTTTTGTTGATGCAAAAAAAAACAAATAATGCTATAAAAAAACAAATAAACGCCTTATAATATTACAACACAGAGTTATAAAATGATATGGCACCAGCTTTTATTTGTACTTAGTCGTGAAAAGAATATTTATTTGAAAGATATTTATTTCTTCGACATTTTCCAATAAGACATTAGTATGTGTAAAGTTGTCTTTGTTATAACTAATTATATATATTTTTTGTTATAACTTGTTATAACTAATTATATATTTTTATACATATATATATATATATATATATATATATATATATATATATATATATATATATATATATATATATATATATATATATTTACTTAAATTAGTTCTCAAAAGAATAATAACTATTGTTATTAGAATAAAAACAAACTTTCATTTTATTTTTTTACATTCTTTGTTTGTCTTATAAAATGTCTAAAAAGTGCTGTGTAGTTGCTTGCAGAAGCGGTTACAAAAAGAAAAAAATGACGATGCTGTAGAGGGTTTTATTACTAAAACAGTATTTAATTTTCCCTAAGACATAAGTTTATGCTCCCGGTGAATCAAGTTTATAAACAGAATTAACTGGAAACTATCTAAATTCTCAGGAATATGTATTAATCATTTCGAAGAAAAATTTATTCAACGAGGCAAAAAAAATACACTAGACTTTACAAAGAATCCTATTCCAACAATTCATACAAATAAAGATTGTTTTTTAAAGCCATCTTTACTCTCTATACCTATAGCTTTAAGAAAGACCCTATCCTCATTCATTGCTAGATGAAACAGTGGTTTTCAACAAAATAGATAAGATTTGTTCAATCAATGACTTGACAGAACAAGTTTGTCCTTAAAATTTTTCATTTAAGAAAATATATGGTGGCGTTATTTATTATCGTGTTATCATTGAAAATGTAACATCATCAAATAACATTGAAAGCATTAATGTTGATAACAATCTGCATGTAAAATTGTACCATAAGGAAAATTTGATACCTCTTAAGAGGTATCAAATTTCCTTTATGGTACAATGGGAAGATCTTCCTCAGTCGTTTCGTCAAAACAATAAGTGTACACTAACAAGTTTCAGCATGTTAGAAAATTTAGTTTCTTATATGAGAAATCGGGTTGAAGAAAAAGAAAAAAAAAATTTAAGCGAACCTAAGTTATATAGTAATGAATTTATTCGATTTGCTTTGGTTCTATGATGTACCTCTAGACAAGCCTATAACTTGCTATTAGATGAATTTCCTTTTCCTTCATTTTCATATTTAAAAGTATTAACTCAAGGTGGAATCGAACCAGTTAAAGCATTAAAATATTTATTAAAAGAAGAAAAAATAAGCTCAGATTCAGTTTTATTAATTGATGAAATGTACATGCAAAAAAGTGTTCAATATCATGGTGGTAAATTTGTTGGAAAAGATGAGAATGGAGAACTTTATTCAAGAGTTGTAGTTTTTATGTTAGTTAGTATTAAACGTTTTATACCTTTTGTTGTTAAACCATGTCCTGAAACAAGTATTTCTGGAAATTGGTTGATGACTGAAATTGAAGAGTGTCTAACAAATCTTTTTAATGCTAATTTTATAATTTGTGCTATCATCACAGACAACCATTCAACTAATACACTTGCATTTAAAAAACTCATAAAAAAGTATAATTCTACTGAAAACTTTTTTTTAATTACAACCAAAATAAAATTTATACATTATTTGATAGTGTACATATTTTAAAAAACATCTGAAATAACTTATTACATTCAAAGAGATTTATTTTTCCAAAATTCAATTTTGATAAATTTGAGGATTCAGTTAATGTTGAAGCTGGAGATATTCGTTGACAGTTATTTCACCAATTTAATGAAAATGATAACTTACTACCTGCTAATTTAAAGAAAACTTACTTCAACTGGTTTACATCCAGGAAAAAATAAACAAAGTATTAAAGTGGCTTTGCAAGTTTTCCACGAGTCAACATATTCTGCCATCAAAAGTTATTTTCCGAAAAAGTTAAGTGCTGCTAATTTTCTATATTTGATAAATACTTGGTGGACAATTTTATATTCAAAGAATATATATATATAATACTAATAATAAAATAGGAAATGCTGTTGTTGCAAATGATCAAAAGCCTGAATTTTTAAATGCTTCTGCTCAATATGTAAGTGAATGGTTTAATACAAATTTACAGGGACGTCACAAATTGTCACTTTCAGCTCAGACATTAAATGCACTAATAGTCACGTTAAAAGGAACTGCATCTTTAATCAAAGATTTACTTTCAGAAGGATATGATTACATTTTAATCAGTATATTTCAAACTGATCCTCTTGAACTTGAAACTGATTAAAACTTACATTTTAATCAGTATATTTCAAACTGATCCATCTTGAAACTTAGGCAGATGAGTGGCAGAAGGTTTCTGGTTAGTTTGCGTGAAGTTAAATGTTCTGAAAAAATAATTAGCATAAAATCTCTATTCAAAGAAACTCTGGCATTGAATACATGGTTTAATAATGAAGTACCAGTCAATAATGATGCAAAAAAACTTAAAACAGCTTTACTGCTATTACAAAATAAAATAGAAGAATATGATTTATATTATTATATTAATATTAGTTATTATTATTATTTGTTCATTGTAATTATTGTAAAAATACTTATTATTACTATTACTATAATTTGTATAATTATATTGTTTATCTTATGTTATTATTATATATTTTTGCTAATATTACTATTATTATTATTATCATTATTATCAAATTTATTGTAAAATGATTTACGGAAAATAAATAGCTTGTTGTTGTTGTTGTTGTTGTTGTTGTTGTTGTTGTTGTTGTTGTTGTTGATTTTATGTGAAAGTTCAAAGGAAGTTGTTATTCATGTTGCTGGGTATATAACAAAAAAAAAATCCAAATTTAAATGTTCTTTGTGTCAAGATCTTCTTCAAACTAACAAAAAATCTTCACCTAATATGGAAATTATATCAAGGGGAGGGTTAACTGAACCTAGTGAAAACAAGGTAGAATATGTTTGCTCCTTAATTTGCATATTAGACATCACTAAAGAATTGTTATTAA